TGATATTTCTCCTGTTCTTACACATTTCATTTCTTCCTTCTGTCTTTATAAAGAATAGAAAAAAAATCTAGAATTTTCTTTCGAATAGTGTACATGCTATATAAACATTCGACATTCGATAACATTCGATATTCGATAACATTCGATATTCGATACTCAGAATGGGAGATGGAAATAAATATTTAGCATCAGTATAAAAAAGTCAACAAAACACGACAAAAAAATAATTTTTTTTTTTTTAGTTGGTAACAACAATTCCAAAAATGCGACACGATCTCCTTGAATATGATCGTTTGGTGAACTTACGTGTTGTACTCAAAAATAGTATGAACAATATTACATCAACAAATGGTCAATATCAAATACAAAAACAAATAGATGCAGTCGAAGAAGAGTTTAAAATGGTATTCGAGGATATCAAAACTGAATTTGCACTTTTGATGGCTCTGGAAAACGAATGTAAGAGACTGAAATCTGTTTATTTCGTCTTTGTAGTTTTTTTTGTCTTACAGATGTTGCTGGAGAACAAGGTGCTAATGATGTTGTTAATCAAGAACAAGATCAGAGCTGCCAGCCTGGCCTGTCGGCCTGCTAGCCTGCCAGGCCAGGCTACCAGGCCAGGCCGACTTTTTTGATTTTGGCCTGGCCTGCTTCCAGCCTGGAAATTCAGGACCAGGCCGCCAGGCCAGGCCAGGCAAAACTATTTGGCCTGATCAATTTTTACTTGAGATGTTAGATTTAACTCATTCGAAAGTTATATGTCGCTATAAATCAAGTTATACTATATTTGTGTTAGAACAATCGATTGCAGTTTTTAAGTTTATTATAAGCCTGCAGGCCAGGCCAGGCCAGATCAATGCAGGCCAGGACAGGCAACAGGCCGAGTAGCTTTTTTTAGCCTGGGCTGCTTTTCGGGCCGGCCTGCCTAGGCCAGGCCAGGCTGAAAAAAAGTGGCCTGTTGGCAGCTCTGAACAAGATGATAATGATGTTGTTGATCAAGAACAAGATGATAATGATATTGTTGATGAAGAACAAAATGAGATTGATGCTGTTATCGAAGAAGAACAAGATGGTGATGATGCTGAAAAACAAAAAATTAATGGCATTGATAAACAATAAAGATATTTCTTCTTATTATTTTAAAAAGAGACATTGATTTAGTTTTTTTTCTCTTTTTGAATTCTTATTTTTATTACTTGATCCAACTATTTATGTCTAATTCAGATATTGAACGACCTTTCACAAGTATCCAACATCGATCGATGGGTTCTATAGCAGATTATTGAAATCGGAAGGGAACATCTGAGAACGTTCCCTCGTTAGTTCTTTTTATTTGTTTCTATAAGTTTTTATTTTTATATTTAGATATCGTTTCTATTGGTGAAGTCAAACCATGAGCCGAACAAATTGATCGAGCAAAAAAGCTTCAATTACCATCAACATTCTATTTATATGAAAACAAAGAACTATGTAAAGGTTGTCCAGGTTGTGAAGAAGATACACCACCAATTGTACCTAATGAAAGTATGTTTTTAATATTTTCATATTGTATTAATGATAATATAAAAAAATAGATTTATTTTTTTTTAACGATTGATACTTTCATATTTATTTAGATAAAACAATAATGTAAAAACAAACAGATGTAGTTAAGAATGATACAAAAATAACCAGTAAACTGATAATTGATTACAATAAATAAATATTTATTTATATTTTTTAATTTTTTTTAGTTCCTCAACCACAATCAACAATATCAGCATCAAAACACCATTAAGTTCAAGTGAAAATATTAAGTTTTCATTTACAAATCCTGAAAAACAACAAACACAATTAAAAAAAGAAACATCAACAACAAAAGAAGAAAAAACATCTGTTGAATCATCATAACCTGTTTCACGTACAACATCATAATTATGCTAATAAACCATCAATATTTGGAAACTTGAATGGCGTTTCTAGTACATCAATTTTTGGAACTTCAACGCCAATAAATAATCCTAGTGGTTCCATATTTGATGGTAATGCATCATTAAAATCATCAACTAATACTAACAGTGGATTTTCTTTTCCTGGTTTTGGTAATATAACAACGACACCTACAAGTGGTTTTTAATTTTCTACACCAGCTGCAACATCAACATCAAACACAACAACAACAACAACAACTAATACATCATCAACATTTTCATTTGGATCAAAATTAGCATCAGCTAATAAACCAGTTTTTGGTAATACACCAAAATTTAGTTTTTCTGTTCTGAACTTGCTAAACAATCATCAACAGCAATGAATGACAGATCAACAAGTAATGGAACTGAACAACGAGGTATAAAATATTATTTTCGAAATATTTCATTTCATTTTTTATTATTTTAGTTTTTTTTTTAGTTTTTGCTGGTCAAGATTCATGTATATTTGGTACAAATGCAACTATAAAAACTAATACAAATGAAGATGATGAAGGTGATGGTGAAGATGATTCATATGAACCAAATGTTTCATTTAAACCAATTGTTCAACTATCTGCTGTTGAAGTTAAAACAGGTGAGGAAGATGAAAATGTTCTCTTTTGTGAACTTGCAAAACTTTATCCTTTTGATGTTGAATCAAATCAAATGCAAAGAACGTGATACTGGTGAAATAAAAATTTACAACATAAAATTAAAAAAATCGTTATCGTATATTAATGTGTCGTGAACAAGTTTTAAAATTATATGCCAATCATCAGATAACATCACAAATGGAATTAAAACCATATCAACGTTCAGAAAATGCATATGTTTGATCAGCTATGGATTTTGCTGATGGTGAAGCTAAACATGAAACATTATGTCTCAAATTTAAATC